CGCTTCTACCGCTGTGGCTGCCCCTGCAGGTTTTTCTTTTTCTTTTTGGTTTGCTGCTCCCGCCGCTCTGTAGGGGGCGGAGGACGGGAGCGCCCTGCAGCAAGCCCGGCACGGCAGCCCGCGTCCTTCCCTGCCTGCCGACCGGAGCGGCGCAGAGCCCTGCCAGCAGGCGGCGCAGCGGGAGGGGCCGCATGGCAAGCACCCCGCTTAAGGAAGCCCTGGCCGCCCCCCTTCTCTCTCCCCCCCCCCCCCCGCTAGCCGGGGTGCGCACTCTGCTGCCCAGGGTCTGCAGGGCCGGGAGTTCCCCTGCACCTACGCTCCCGCCGCCCCGCAGGTATTTGTGGGTTTTTTTTTTTTTTCTTTCCTTCGCCGCTCCAGCTGGGGGCAGTTTGTTTCCCGGCCACACCCCCTTCACCGCTCCGGCCGGCCAGTTTGTCCCCCCCCCCTTCGCCGCTGCGGCCGGGGGCAGGTTTGTTTTCCTCCTCCCCTTTGCTGCTCTGGCTGGCCGGGCGTTTTTTGCTTGGGGCAGCAAAAAAGCCAGAGCCGGCCCTGGTCACAGCCTTTATTCTGACAGAGCCCGCAACCCGCACCGTCCCTGCACGCCTAGCTCTCTCCCTTTCCCTGAGGCGGTGTCTCACTCTCTAGTGCCTGGAACCAGCCGCTGGCTCCCCACAGCTGCGGCTCCTTCCCCGTCAGACACGCCCGCGAGAGTCTCACGTCTCTGGACATCTCCTCTCTCTCGTTTCTATTGTTCACCTCTGCCCGGGGCGTTCGGCAGCAGGGAGCGAATGCCCTGGGCGTGGGTGAAACCCCAGTGTAGGGACCCGATCCACAGTCCATTGCTTCGTTGCTTCCCTTGAAGGGCTCCAATGAACATGAATTGACTTCGGGCCACCACTGACAGGAAGGGGATGTGTGACTCTGCTTCCCACAGACAGCGCTCCCTGCCTGGCGGTGTCCCTCCCTTTATACCCGCTGGGGAACCCACATGCAAATCCCTGCCCCGGGCCCTTCCTATTTAAATACAAACCCCTGAGCCGGGGAGTCTCAGCTTCTCCCCAGACACAGAACTGCCCGGTCCTGCCCGCTGAGGCGTTTCCCTTCTTTTATGAAAACTAGAATGAAATCTCTGTGGCTTTTCCTTTCCCTGTTATCGGCCCCGACCTGTGAGTGTGTTTTACAGAGCGGGGAAATTAGGGACAGAGCCACAGATTCATTGCCTGACTAATTACTTCCATAAACCGTTTCCCTCTCCCAGGTGTCCTCTCTCAGGTGCAGCTGGTCGAGTCCGGCCCGGGCGTCGTGAAGCCCGGACAGACCCTCACCCTGACCTGTGCTGTCTCCGGGGTCTCTATCACTAGCAGCAGCTACGTGTGGAACTGGGTCCGGCAGCCCACCAGGAAAGGGCTGGAGTGGGTAGCACGTATATACCCACACGACGGGAGAAAGTGGTTTGCCGCGTCTCTCCAAAGCCGGACCACCATCTCTTCAGATACCTCCAAGAACCAGTTCTCCCTGCAGCTGGCCTCCCTCGCAGCTGCAGACACCGCCATGTATTACTGTGCCAGAGACACAGGGACACAGAGCAAAGCGGGGCTGGTACAAAAAGGGGAAGCGGATTGTCTAGAGTCACTCGGGGCCCTGTCACACTCACGTCTCCATTAGAAGCGGGGTGAGACACTGGTCACAAGGCGGTTTAGGAGGTGGAAAGGGGGGAGGGAAAATTCCTTGTCTCGTAACTCAGCTCCTTGTAACACAGACACACAGCGATCCCATCTCGCGGCCCCCCCAAGGGGAATCAGGTCTCGTTCCCAGCAGCCATCACACAACCCTTCTGGGTACTAGCTACAGAACCCAGCGCTGCATTTCCCCCTCCGGAGCTCAGGAAATCCCAGCGAGGTTCAAGTCAAGTTCGTTTAGCCCAATATCCTGTCTCTGAGCATGACTAGCCGGGGCTGCTTCACAGACCCCGCAGCTGAGGATGTGAGAGAATCCACCCTCCACATCGGGTCTCGCCCTGGTCTCCAACAGAGATTGGGTTAAACCAGCGACACCCAGACTGTGGCTCTCCAGCCGCAAGGGGCTTTCTAATGTGTCTCCTGCCCCCTTTGCAGCACCTGGTGTGATTTAATTACGAACCCCTCCAAGTTATTAACCAATCAGGATGTGTTTATTATGTTATTAACCAATAAAGTGATCAACTTGCACTAAGTTATTAACTTACTGTGGGAATTTTATAGATATAGGTATACAGACATATAGATAGATAGATATCTAAATATCATTATATTATATTATATATAAATAATTGTGTACATATACTAAATATATATAGAGAGTGTGTCTATATGTATACATACACTCTAAATATTTTCCCTGACATTCACACTACTGTGGCTCTTTGGGTAATACTCATGGATAATTTGGCTCCTGAACCCCTGAGGTCTGAGTATCACTGGTTTGAACCCTAAAGGACAAGGTTTAATATCCGTGCCAACCCCCCGCCCCCGCCCAGTGTGTGTCCCAGCCCTGCTCCTGACCTACCACAATCACAGCCCTCCTTTGGAGACAGCCCAGAACTTTCCTGTCTCCTGACTTCCCTCCCTCCTGCTCCTGCCGTGAACGCTGTTGGCTTCCCTGAAAACTACTTGGGAAAACCCAACCTTTCTCCCTCTCCCAGGACCCAGCCCCCTTTAGAATAATAGAATATCAGGGTTGGAAGGGACCTCAGGAGGTCATCTAGTCCAACCCCCTGCTCAAAACAGAACCAATCCCCAGACTGATTTTTTGCCCCAGATTCCTAAAATGGCTCCCTCAAGGATTGAACTCACAACCCTGGGTTTAGCAGGCCAATGCCCAAATCAGTGAGTTATCCCTCCCCCCCCAAAATCCCCCCTCCATTTACTGAATCCTCTTGCTTCCCCTGTGCTGGCTGCTCCTGTGTGTAGTGTGAACATCTGCCTGTTTCAAACCATGGGATTTATTTCCGAATTCACGTATCAGGGGGGTAGCCGTGTTAGTCTTCAAGGTGCCACCAGATTCCTTGTTGTTTTTGTAGATACAGACTAACAGATATGCCCAAATAAATCTGTTAGTCTTTAAGGTGCCACCAGACTCCTTGATATTTCCGAATTCTCTTTCCCACCTCGAGGAAATGACCTGCCCCCGACTCCGGAGTACAACACGCTGTAGATAGACTCCATGGAGTCAGGCTGGGGGGTTATCAAGAAACCTGCACCATTTTGGAGACAGAATCTCACTGGGTTTCACTGGCAGTTGGATGCCCAGCCCCCAACCAGTCTCTGCTCTTCTCTGCCCCTTGTCACCGGAGCATGTGAGCAACTCACAACCAGGCCTGGAGTTTACACGTGAAGCAGGAAAGTGTCATTAGCCCTATTTTACAGAGGAGGAACTGAAGCCCTGACTCAGTAAGGCTGAGATTATCCAACCCGCCTAGGGGATTTGGGCACCCACCACCCACTGACACGAGTGGGAATTGTGCACGCAGAGTCCCTAGGTGGAGTCACACAACTGCAACAGGAAGCCAGTCTCCTAGACCCACAGGGGAATCACCAAAGGCTAATGTACAGCCACGCTGAGCTGAGCGCAGGGTCTCTCTGGGTGTAGAGGGGACCCCCGTCCGAAGGGGACATGGCCATGTACTGAGCGCTCACCCCCTGCCAGCTCTTATACCCGCCCTGGGAACCCGCATGCAAATCCCTCCCCGGGGGTTCCTGTTTAAATACAAACCCCTGATTGTAGGAGCCTCAGTCTCTGCCCAGACACAGAACTGCCCGGTCCTGTCCCTGGGGAGTTTCCCTCATTGCGTGAAAACGAGGATGAAATCTCTGCTGCTTTTCCTGTCCCTGTTCTCTGCCCCCTCCTGTGAGTGTTTATTGAGAGTGAGACAATTAGCACCAGAGCCACAGATTCTTTCCTGGCTAATTCTGTCCTTGCTTTGTTTCCCTCTCCCAGGTGTCCTGTCCCAGGTGCAGCTGGTCCAGACCGGCCCGGGAGCGGTGAAGCCGGGAGCGACCCTCAGTATCACCTGTAAAGTCTCTGGAGTCTCCGTCAGTGACCACTACTGGAGCTGGAACCGGCAGCCCCCTGGGAAAGGGCTGGAGGGGATGTGGTTTATCCGGGATACAGCTAACGGGGGGACCACAGAGTATAACTCGGCTCTCAAACCTCGTGTCACCATCACCAGGGACACCTCGAAAAACGAAGTTTATCTCCAGCTCGGCTCACTGACAGCTGCAGACACCGGCACCTATTACTGTGCCAGATATACAGTGATGCAGAGCAAAGCCGGGACTGGCACAAAAAGAGGAAGCGAATTTCTAATCACCCAACATGAACATTCAGTTAGTGCTGTAGGGGATGAGACAGACGGGGCATTGCCGACACGGGGATCTCAGGAGCCACCCGCGTTTCTCCCCCTGCATCCCACCCTCCCAGCCCCTTCCACCAAGGGATTTTACATGCTCCGCTTCCCTGTGCTTCCCACTGAAATGTGCACCGGGGACGGTGACATTAATGGTGAGATACTCTGGGCCTCAATAGCAAAGCATGCTCCGCGCCTGCCTCTCTGAGTGACATCAGCTGCAGCTGTGGGCGATTATCCACTCCTGGGAGTCAGGCTCCCTGTGACTCATGTTGGGCCCTGAAATATTCAGTCTCCCAAACTCAGACACCACTTCAGGAAATGTTGCCCCAGGGGAGCCAATGTCAGAGGCGCTAAGCGGGCACTGCTCTGCCTGAAGTCAGTGAGAGCTGCCGGGGCCCAGCACCTCCAAAAATCAGCGTTCGAGCTGCAATGCATTATGGGAGGAGGGACAGGTTTAGGGGAAAGGCACGGGACTGGGTTAAGAAGATTTGGGTTCAGTTCTGGTCTTTGCCAGACACTGCCTGAGAGAAAGTGGGTAACTCAGCTCGTCTCTCTCCCTGCCCAGTCCCCATCTACAAAAATTCCCCCTCCCCACTTGGGCGTCACTCTCACATCCCGCCAGCGATACACGAGGCCTTTCCTTAGCAGCAGCTGCAGCTCTGGGTGTGGCTAGACGGGGTCGCTGCTCCCAAGTACAATGGAATCCTACCGCAGCCAGGATGAGACAAGGAGCTGAGTCAATTATCCAGCAGCCTGTGTGGAGACAGCCCATAATTCCCGGGGTCCTGTCATATCATCCCCTGTTTCCAGGGCTTCAGGGGGCGTGACAAGTCTTATCAATGTAGGGAAAGGACAAGGAATCAGACAGCCTTCTGAAAATTAAAGGCAATATCATGATATTGATTATCTCAAAGGAACAAAAACTTTAAAATCACAATAACAAACAGGAGGTGCCGAAAACTACGGTGATGGGCATCAGTAAAAGAACCTAGTCTAGTACATGGCACCGGCTATACAGGTTCAGAGCGATGGTCCATCTCGCCCAGTAGCCTCTCCTGTCACAGTGGCCAATGCCAGGTGCTTCAGAGGGAATGCACAGAACAGGGCAATTTATTGAGTGATCCATCCCCTGTTGTCCAGTCCCAGTTTCTAGCAGTGAGAGGTTTAGGGACATGAGGAGCAATGGGTTTTGTCCATGACTATCTTGGCTGATAGCCACTGATAGCCGCTGATGCCCTTATTGGCATAACACAAGAACTCTGGGTCACCCAATGAAATGAATAGGCAGCATGTTTAAAACAAAGAAAAAGGAAATATTTCTTCACACAACAGCACAGTCAACCTGTGGAACTCTTTGCCAGAGGATGTTGGGAAGGCCAAGACTACAACAGGGTTCACAAAATAACTAGATAAATTCATGGAGGATAGATCCATCAATGACTATTAACCAGAATGAGCAGGGATGGTGTCCCTGGCCTCTGTTTGCCAGAAGCTGGGAGTGCACGACAGGGGTGGATCACTTGATGATTACCTGTTCTGTTCATTCCCTCTGAGGCGCCTGGCACTGGCCACTGTCAGAAGACAAGATACTGGGCTAGATGGACCTTTGGTCTGACCCAGTGTCGCTGTTATATTCTCAAAGGATGTGTCATTATTTACAAAGGGAATTTTATAGATTCCATGACCAGAAGGAACCCTTGTGATCATCTAGTCTGACCTCCAGAATAACAAAAGGCCACCTATGGGAGCTAGGCCCCCAAAAACTCTGTGAAATCCATAGGATTTAGGCTCCTAACTCCTTTAGTTTCCTAGGAAAATCCCAGCCCAAAAGAAGAGTTAGTCGTTTGAAGCTGGTATTTATCAGACACCCACAGTGAAACGCTGCTATGCAGGAGCCGATTATTTGAGAAGGAAAGTGCACAAAATGAAGTAGCTGTGGCTGGGATTCTCAAGCGGACTAGGGGAGTTAGGTGCTCAAATCATGTTGAAATTGGTGGGGAGACAGAGTCCTAAACACCATTTAACCTTTTTTAAAGGAGGGAAACCTACCACTATATTTCCAACACTATCTTATAGGAAAATGTTATCTTTCACACCTCGTTGACTAAGACATTGCCTTGTTCTATAGCTCTCCCCCACCAAAAAAATCTCCTTCAAGGTTTAATCCAACACCCTCTAAAACTAAGATGAGTTTTTGTGTTGATTGCAATAAACTTTGGGTCGAGCCCTAGAGTCCTGTCTAGAGATTTGAGGTTGTAGAAGGCAACTGGTAATTTCTCCCTTCAGCAAAAGTATATTCAGGACCTAGCACACTTTGCTAGGCCCTGCACAAACACAGAGACAAAGCCCCATCAGAGCCTGAGGGCATGGCTGCACTTGCAAGTTATAGAGCATTAAAGTAGCCCTGGGCACACTCACTCACGACGCGTCCACACTGGCAAGGCACGTAGAGCGCCCTGACTCCACGGCTACAGCGCTCATGGTTCTCCATCTCGGCGAGTGGAATAACGTTTGATGTGCCCCTGCTGGAGCACCACAGCACCAGTGTGGACGCCCTGGTCTGTTAATGCGCTCTGATCGGCCTCCAGAAGTGTCCCACAATGCCTGTTCTAGCCACTCTGGTCATCACTTTGGACTCTACTGCCCTGCCCTCAGGTGACCAACCATCAGACCCGCCCTTTAAATTCTCTGGGAATTTTGAAAATCCCCTTCCTGTTTGCTCAGCCAGGCGTGGAGTGCTCTCAGCAAATCTTTCCAGGTGACCATGCCTCCATGCGACAGGCGATCCCCAGTCTGGAGCAATGGGGAGGTGCTGGACCTCATCAGTGTTTGGGGGGAGGAAGCTGTCCAGTCCCAGCTGAGCTCCAGCTGTAGGAATTACGATACCTTCAGGCAGATAACAAGGGACATGATGGAAAGGGGCCATGACCAGTTCACACTGCAGTGGAGGGTTAAAGTGAAGGGGCTGCAGAATGCCAGCCACAAGGCAAACAGCCACTCTGGTGCTGTCCCCGTGACCTGCTGTTTTTACAAAGAGCTGGATGCAATACTTGAAGGCCTCCACTCCAAGTACCACCATGGACACTTCAGAGCCCAGTCCAATAAGGCAGGAGGAGGAGGAGGAGCATAGTGGGAATAAGAGTGCTGAGGAGAAGGAAGACACCCCAGCATCTCTAGATGCACGCAGCCAGGAGCTATTCTCAAGCCAGGAGGAAGGTAGCCAGTCACGGCAGCCAGTACTTAGGGAAGGATAAACAACAGAGGAAGTTTCCAGTAAGCGGCTTTTATTTTGGGAAGGAAGTTATTCGCTGCGGGCTCTTGGGTTGAAGAGGGTTAGGGCTGCATGCATGCCTAGATGCAGAATAGGGCGTTGATGTGCTCTCTCACATCGCGGTAATCGGCCCCAGTGATCTCTTCAAAGGTCTCATCCAGAACTTGGGCCATGCGCTTGTGCAGGTTTTGTGGGAGAGCCACTGTGGTCCTTGTCCCAGTCAGGCTAACATGTCCGTGCCACTGTGCCGTGAGGGGTGGAGGGACCATTGCTGCACACAGGCAACCTGCATAT